TCAACGGCAACTCTGCCAGAGCAAGATGACCGACGCGGCTGCGCGGCTGCGCTGCGCCTCGGTCGCGGGGAGGCGAACCCTGAACGTGCGGCCAAACGGCCCGAGGCAGTAACCACTTGCATCGAGGAACTCCTGCAGTGCGGCATCCTTGCCCCCATCAGAAACGTTCGAGGATATGAGCCACTGCAGCTTGAATGGCCATGCCGAATGCTGAACCTGGCGCGGGCGCGCCACTGGCCGACGCCGAATTCGCGGCCGCTGCAACCATGCCTCGCGGCCGGTTCATTGGACGACCTGGCGCGGCCGCGCCAGGTGAGCTCACGCATCAATCATGTTGTTGCAGTGGCCACGCATTCGGCGCCAGCGCCGCGGTCGCGCCCCCGCGGGGCCCCCAGACGCTGGAACAGGCAGCAGCTGGCCGATAGCACCAAGCGCCTCGCGCAAGCTCGAACATCCACGGAACGAAGATCCTGCAGCCGAGGAATGCGAGCAGCCGCCGCGGACGGTCGTCTGGCAAAGTCCATTCCTTGAATAATCGCAAAGGCAGAATCCACGGCTGCCCAACGGTGCTCAACCGCGGATCCACCAGGTCGGTCAGTTTCGCCTTGCGCCCGCCTTCACTGGCGCTGCCAAGCACAAACCAGTGGAGCTTCTCGACCTGAGAACGCCCTATGAGCAACGCCCCCGCGTTCCATCGGTTCGCTGCGCCCCTGAAGTATCTCGAAACTCTCATCACCCTGATCACGTTCGTGGGCGTGGAACTGTTGACCCCCTCGCCGCTTGCAGTTTTGTCAGCGCGCAATGTCTTCTCGGCCTCCAGCTCTGCCTCTGTCGCGCCCATGTTTGAAGATAAAGCCGATAGACACGATGGCAGAGCAAGGTTGAACACCGACCCCTATCACGACCTGTTTCCTGGACCGCGCGACGCCTGTCCACCGCGAGAGGGCGCCGACCCCCCACCGACGACCACTGGGGCACTTAACGAGCGGCGTCGATATATACGTAGCTACCTCGCCATGGTCGACCCTGAGCCTGCTAGATGAATTGGGCGCCACTGCAACGTAATACACCCATGCCCCAACAAAATTGTCGAACAAACTCCTCTCGCACAAATCGCGCAGGTCGTCGCGAAATGCAAATGCCCCGCGCGCGCGGGCGCCCCATCTTGCAAGACCATCCCGGAGCCACCGGCGATGCCAAACACGTCCAGCACTGATTGGGGAAGACCTTGGCATGCCCATCGGAAGGCTTGCTTTAACGGGCAACCAACTTGTCTTGACGTGGTCGTGGATCGCGGCTGCGAGTGCTGCAGCGTTCTTGCCAATCCCAATCACCTTGCTCAATCTGCACAGCATGCCAGCCACGCCCGCCATTGCAACAATTGAAGGCCTGCATATGTTGATTTGGTGCGAAAGGCACCGCTGGAAGTGCAACGACAGACCGCGCAGACTCGCTCGTTCAATGTACCTGAGCAAGAAGCTGCACGCGGTCAGGTTCGAAGAGGCCGAGTCCAATGCGAGAGAAAATATAAGCATGTCAACGTTTGTCATGAGCATCTCGAGACTCCTGATGCTGGCAAGTCGACGGGCAATGATCTGCGTAACCCGTCGAACAGAAGTTTGGCAGCAGCGCTTTCCAAGCAAATAGGGCACTGCAATCCAGGGCTGCCGCTCGATCTCCATGGGCTGGAGGTCCGCGATCAAAACAGGCGGGCCCCGCTGCGCAGCAGCTTGAGAGGCTGCGCCAAGGATGACCATCACGTTGAAGACCTGCTGGCCCTTGTCGAGGTCGCTCAAACCCTCCTCTTTCACCAGGAGGGCCCGTGACATCTGGGAAGCCTCGTCCCACGTGCTTGAGATTCCACGAATCGAAAAGAGGCGCCCGCCCGCAGCTGCTGGCGTCTCCCTGGTTAGCCACCGTTGCCACCCGCGCAACTGCCTGTCTAGAAACGGTTTGCCCACGATGGCCACTGACTTCTTCCGCAACCGACGCACCTTCTCAACGGGCGCGCCTGAACCTCGGACCTTCGCCGAACACGCCAACTGCATCACGGCCATGAGCTTCGTTTCGGGCAGGACCGCCACCCTCGCAACAACTTCGGGAGCAGTGCAGCCTGGAGTCGTCATGGACCTGACTGCCAGCTGCTGCACGTCGTTGTCGCCCAGAGGTTCTCGGCGACGCCTGAAATCGTCGATGCGGGCCCTGCGGCCTCGCTCGAACGCGTCGAGGCGCTTCTCCCTCCCAGTCGGTTGCTGGCGAAGGTCCCCTTTGGGGATCGCCATCACGAGGGCGACGATGTCATCGTCCATACGGTAGTGTTGGGGACACCAACAGGGTTCATTGAAAGGGAAAGCTGTGAGCCAAAACGGCTGCGCAAGCAGCAGGAGAACACGGCAAGACAGAGGGAGGGAAGCACACATTAGGCTCAGGGGTGCAACATATCTCTTCCTCAGCGCATATCTATATAGCCACACATCATCACTGCCACGAGTACTGGGCAGATTGCGGTTCCTCTCACGAGAGCAATACAACACAACGCAACGATCGCAATACAAGAGAGAGCGTGATCCACCGCCGCTTTACTGTGGAAAATTGCTGACCTTTTCCTCCGGAGCCCGGGGGTCTCCCCCCCCCCCCTCCGAAAATCCCCCCCCCCCCTGGAACCCCTCCCCCCCCCTCCCCCCCTCCCCCCCCGGCAAAACCCCCCCCTCCCCTCCCCTCCCCCCCCCGCCCCTCCCCCTCGAAAACCGGGGGGGGGGGGGGCCCTCCCCCCCCCCCTCTCCGGATCCGGAAAACCAAGGGGGGGTCACTACCGGTTGGACCCCCCCCCCCCCCCTCGAAAACCGGAGGGGGTCACTACCGGTTCGACCCCCCCCCCACGCACCGCCAGCAAACGACTCCCGGTCCCTACCACCGCTCGCATCACATCCCCCACTGTTGTTCCCAGCACCACTGTCCTCACCACCACTGTCCCCACTGGTTCCACCACCGTCCCTATTGTCCCCACCAGTGCCCCCACCACTGTCGCACTGTCCCCACTGTTCCCACCACTGTTCCCACCACGGTTCCACTCTCCCCACTGTCTCCACGGACCCAACCACTGCCTATCCCCACTGTCCCACTGACTCCTCCGCTGTCCCACTGAGCTGTCCCACTGTTTCACCACTGTCCCCACTGTCCCCACCACTGTCCCCACTGTATCTCTGTCCCATTGTCCCGCCGCCGTCCTCGCCACCGCCTTTACCACTGTCCCCACCACCATTGTACCCTCCACTGTCCCACTGTTTCCACCTCATTCCCACTGTCCCCACACCACTGTCCCCGTCCCCACCACTGTCCCCACCACTACTGTCCCCACCACTGTCCCACTGTCCCACTGTCCCCACCACTGTCCCGCTGTCCCCTCACCACTGTCCCCACCAACACCGTCCCCACCACTGTCCGCACCCCCACTCGGTTTTCGAGGGGGGGGGGGGGGGGTTCGAACCGGTAGTGACCCCCCCCCCCTTTTCATGATGAGCTGGGGGGGGGGGAGGGGTTCGAACCGGTAGTGACCCCCCCTGGTTTTCCGGAGGGGGGGGGGGGGGAGGGGTTCGAACCGGTAGTGACCCCCCCCGGTTTTCCGCCAGCAGCGGTAGAACACGCTCTTTCCAATACAACGATAACGCATGCAAAACAATACGAGGCAGCGAGCGCAATATAATACAATGCAACGAACGCAATACGATGCAACGCAACGAGTGCAATGCAAAGCAGTTATTTTCATGTATTGCTTAAGCAACTCTTTGCTAGACATGACTGCATATTTCTGTTTGGCAATTCTTACGTCGGCCTCAAGTTTTGATTTCTACCTGACGCTGCGGGGACTGCCCACACAAAACAGGCCCATGTTGGCGCTAAGTCATCATCATCATCATCATCATCATCATCATCATCATCATCATCATCATCATCATCATCATCATCATCATCATCATCATCATCATCATCATCATCATCATCATCATCATCATCATCATCATCATCATCATCATCATCATCATTAGCATCATCATCATCATCATCATCATCATCATCATCATCATCATCATCATCATCACCATCACCATCACCATCACCATCACCATCAACAACACCATCATCATCAGCAGCATCGTCATCAGTATCATCATCAGCATCATCATCATCACCAATATCAGCAGCATCAACATCATCATGATTCACGCTCTGGCCATACCAAACGGAGAAGAGAGCGAAGGCAGAGGAAGGAAGGGAATGAGGGGAAGAAGGGGGAGGACAGGGGGGAGGAGAGGAGGGGGGAAGATGGGAAAGGGGAGGTGAATGAGTTGAGGAGCTGCAGGATAGCACGAAGCGAACGAAGCGAATGCTGGAGCTAGAGGACAGAGGGGTAAATGGAGGCAGAGGGGAAAAAGGTCATTGTCTCTCCCCCTCCCTCCTGTCATAACTGCCTGGAGGGTCGGAAACCTCCACAGTGGAGAATGTACAGCGCAAAGATAGCTGCTGGACCTCCACAGCCGTCGTCGCCGTCGTCGCCGCAGTCGTCGCGGCCGTCGCCGTCGCCGTCGCCGTCGCTGCCGGCGCCGTCGCCGCCGTCGGCTGCGTCGTCGACTTGAAGACGAACAAACTGCATAAACAGAAACTTTGGGGATCTGCGCTGGCCCGCCCCCAGGGTCGCCTCCGGCGCCGCCCCTGACGCAGCCGGCGGCGGCGACGGCGACGACCGCGACGACTGTGGCGACAACGGCGACGACGGCGGTGGAGGTCCCAGCAGCTAGCCTAGCGCTCTGCGTTCTCCACCGGGTCGGAGAGGGGAGGCGGAGAAGGGGTTCTGGAGCAGCCTGAGCCCCTCCTCCTCCTCCTCCTCCTCCTCCTCCTCCTCCTCCTCCTCCTCCTCCTCCTCCTCCTCCTCCTCCTCCTCCTCCTCCTCCTCCTCCTCCTCGATCGACGCCGCCCTCGTCGTCCTCCTCGTCGGACATCGCCTGGCACCTCCGCGCCGCGGCAGGGCCGCGGGCTCCGCGAGGCCCCGGGGGCCATCGGTCAGCACGCGCGGCAGCCGGCCGGCGCGGTGCGCACCGCGGGCGCGCGCGCACGGCGCGAGCCAGCGGCGGTGGCGGCATGCACTGCGCTCGCGGGGGCCGCCGGCCGCTGCCAGCGGCCGCCGGCCAGGCTGCCTGCCTGCCAAGACGGAGCGCTCAGTGAAAGCGCGCGGACGGCCCGTGGGGAGCTCCAGAGAAGGACTTCCCAAGGAGCCGCCGAGGCGCTGTCCCCCCGGCTCGCCTTCTGTGGGCCAGCCCGGCACAAAGGGGTCCTCGGGGGAACCTCAATCCAACCCAACCCGAGGACCCGAACTTCAGGTTGGGGGGGGCACGGGTTCCACATGTGTTTTCTCACTGCTCCCCGACCCCACCCCCCACTGGAAATGGAGGATAAACTGAAGACTTCGGGTGTGGTTTGGGGTTGTCAAGTGGGTGGTGACGGCCATGCCAGGGCGGCCCACAGGGTAAGACGAGCCAGGATGAGGATCAATCAAATCAGGTAAGGATTAATCGAGAGCCTCTAAAATCCAGCGGTTCTGGAAGATGTCTCGGGCGCCGCGGCCTTCTAGGAACGTCCTGGAACGCTCTGGATGTCCTGGAACGCTCTGGAACGGATTCACCCTCGTCCTAACCCCGTCCCAGAGCAGAGGGGGGGGGGGGGCGGAGAGGTGCACAGCGCTCCTTGGCGGCGCAAGGGAACTATTGTCATCCCGAACCAAATCTCACGTGTCAGCAGTTGCCCCTCCCCAGAAAAATACGGCCAGCTGGGTATCAATCACAAAGACGGAGGCTGCTGCGGCCAGGACTATCGAGAAGGACGTCGCGATTTCTGTTGTTTTTGGGTTGTCCGTGCACTTGATGACGATGGCGATCAGCATACCGCCCAAGCCTTGCAGTGCGATACTGGCGAAGGTCACAATGGCATAGCCGTGGAAAGTGGGGGGAATGAAAACAACAACAACAACAACAACAACAACAACAACAACAACAACAACAACAACAACAATCATTTAAGACTGGGGACACTCCGTTCTCACCAGTGCCAGGGTTTTCATAGGAGGCGGGCAATACCCCCACTTTGTGGGGGGGCCGGTTCAAGCTCTACCAAATTTCCAAACGACTCTTCGCCACCACCCACACCCAGCTTCCCGCCCTATGACGTTCGGACACTTCACTTCGTGGCATGCGGACGACCGTGGCTACTATTCTTCACTTCGTGGCCTGCGGACGACCGTGGCTACTACACTGGCGTGGAGTACACACCCACAGAAGTTGTTAGGACAGCGCGCGCGGGTAGAAATTTTGAAAAGTCGTGCAGGTGTTTTTCGAGGACCTACGGTGCGATTCGTGTGATTTTATGATGCGCGGTGCTAAAATTCTTAAGAACCCAATGGTTTTTGGAGATTTCGGCGTGCGCGCGCGAAGAAAAAACGAATGTGTCCCGCATGGTATTATTTGACAGGGATGATGGCCCTGGCAGGTGCGCAACCGTTGTCGCAGAAGTTCGAAAAAGTTGCTCGCAAAAGCCCGTTTGACAGAAATGTTTAAAAAGTGTTGGGTTTCCTACGAATCCGCAAGAGCGCGCGGGATGAGATTTTGACATTTTTTTGTTGAAAAACCATTGGTTTTTTGATGTTTTTATGTTAAAATCGCTCCGAACACTAAGCTTTTGGAAGGATTTCGTCTTGCGCGCGCGAATGTCCACTTTACCTTATTTTTTGCAAGGGATTCTTGAAATTTGATTATATTAGAACAAGAAATGTCATTTTATAGTGTTTTTTGCAAGGGAAAGCGGGGGGGAACAAAACAACCGGATCTTGATCACATCGAATTACCTGAGGCTTCCTCACGAAAATGATGAAAATGTAGCTGCGGCCTAGGCGGCGCAGGGGGGCCGTGCACCAGGGGCCCCAACAATAATTATTCTTTAGAATTAATAATGTTCAACAACAACAACGACAACAACAACAACAACAACAACAGCAGCAGCAGCAGCAGCAACAACAACAACAACAACAACAACAAACAAAAAAAAACTACAGCACGGCTGCCGACTGCCTAGTTGTTACTAACCCACCACATCCAAATACGGCTGAATACAAACCGAGCTGACCATTCCTCTTCCACAGGTCAAGTTTGGATCCCCTCTTGGAGAGCTTCTCGGCGCACGCTCCTGCCAGCCCCGAAGAGAGCGTCGACCTGAGGGTGAAGGTCAAACCGGGGGCTAATTTCGAAGACCCCTTTTGCCCCTGGATCTGAAACATTTCCGAAAGCTGAACGGCGACCACTCCAATCGTCAAGACGACCAGCGCGGCCCACTGCTGCCCTCTGAGCGACTTGCCTAACATAACGACCGCGAAGACTGCCGTCGAGAAAATGTGTACTTGGTAGGTGACCTGGAAGATCGCCGCCTGGAGATAAAACAACCCCAGGCACTGCAGGTCGTTTTGCAACAGGTACAGGAAAGCGGAGATGTCAGACTTCAGCAGCTCGCCCCTGCTCTGGAACGTCGTCGACAGGGCGCCGCGTTCAAGGCCAGCGCCATGGAACTGAGCAACTTCAGCAGCTCGTGCATAATGACCGCCGTCCGCGGCAGGAACTGGCCATCCGTCTCCGTCGCCCACGCGCGCCGCATGATCAGCGCAGCGCTGCTTTGCTGCGCGGCGAGCAGCGCGAACGCCACTCGCGCGAGCCACGCGGGCGCCTCGGGCTTCTCGGGGCCCTATTTGGCCCCCTCGACTTCCACGGCCCCCTGCCCTGCGCCGACAGCGAGCGTCTGCACCTCGCCCTGCTCCAGGCCATCCGTCGCCGCAGCGCCGGCACACCCCGGGCCATGCGCTCGAGCTCGTTGAGGTCGAGTTCGGGAGTGCGGTTGCAGGCCGGCACGCAATGCCACTGACTCCGTGGACCCTGCAACAACAAGCCAAGTTTGAAATCCCATATCTGTCGGAAACCGCCCTCTTCGAGCAATTCGCCGAGTGAGATGATGGGGGGGGGGGGGGGCAGTTGATCATAGCCAGCGCGCTGCTGGACAAACCGACCTCGGGGATATGCAACTGGATGCGCTCGTCAACTTCATGATCGCCGCTGGCAGATGCCAAGATCTGCCCACGCCCCCTGCGCGCGTTGTCGGATTCGTCGCAGGTCAAGACGGCCCCATCTTGGACGCGGCGCGCTGAATCGCTACCAAGCACCCAACTTCGCGACAACGCAGCCGTCGTTCCAACAGGAGCGGGGGAAGATGCAGCGGATGTTGCCATCGGCTCGCGGCCGTCGTTCGCTGAAATAGCAGGCGCAGCAATAGTCGTTGCAGGTGGGAAGACGTCACCATGCCAAGCGCGGGCCTCGCCCTGAGCCGCACGCGAGGCCCGCGCGCCGTCGCGCCGCCAGTCGGGAAAAGGGTCAGGAACGTCCACTCGGTCACCGTCGCGGGGGCCGCCCTGCCACTTGTCCACATGGCCGCATGCCGCGCGGGCAAAGATGCCCGCGCTGTCATGATCGGGGTACACACGCGGTAGAGACGCCTTGCGACTGGCAGGAGCCGCCGCGAGGGCCTTCTCGCGGATGACGCAGCTGCCGCCGCGTAGTCGCCGAGGCGGTCGTCGGCGGGCAGCGGGCGACGGGCTGCAGCAGCGCGGGGACGTGCTCCTCATGGAGTCGTGGTGCACTGGCGCACGCGATCGCTGCCCCGCTGGGAGGAGCGCCCTCGGTCGCTGCCCCACCGTGAATCGCGGGATGGAGAGCGAGAGCCACGCCGCGACCAGCGCGCGCCCCCCAGACTGCAAGAGCCGCGGCGGCCATCGCGTCGAGGGGGGCGGAGGCCCCGCCGCGACCGTCGAGAGCCCCCCGGACTCCGTGATCCTCGGCGCCCCCCGCATTGAGGAGAGCCCCCCGACGGCGCGACCAGGGCTGCGCGGTGGGGCCTCAGCGACAACTGCAAGGCGGGCGCGCTTGCAGCCGTTGCCGGCCTCGCAGCGGTCGCTCGCGCAGAAGCTGATCCTTGCCGCGCGGGGACAGCGACGCCCGCCACCTGTCGGGCAGGAGCTGGCACTGGCAAACGCAAAGCAAAACTGATTGCCACCACCTGACTGTGGCGCCATTCTCGGTCAGTCACTGGCGGGTCGCCCTCCGCGGGCATCGCTGCCAGCCCGATGTCGGCGATTGCGCGTAGAAGGGGCGCCCCGCGGGACCCCGGGCCCCGCGCGCAAAGCTTTGCAACGATCGCCACTCCTGCAGATGCCCTTTTTTTCCCCCGCAGCACATAGGGCCGCGCCGCCCTCGCGCTGCGACGCGCATGTCAAATTGTTGCCCCTTCGTTCGCGTCGATGCAGCTCGATGTTCTCTACGTGTCGGGCTGGGGGCCAGCCGTGAGTCTCGTTGTGCCCGTTAGGCTTCATCTTGTTGCATTCGTACACATCTTGCTTCATCCATGGACGTCGTCGAATCTGCGCCCTGTGTGACTGGGAGATTCCGGGGCCAGGAAGCCCCCGACAGTCGGGCAAAGAGTTGCCCCAGGTCCACAACGAAACGCTGAAGATAATCTTCTCGCGCAGGAAAGCTCTGGAGTCGCTCGAAATCGCGCGCAGCGTCGTCCACTTCAGCGACAGTGACTTCGCAGGACCTCAGGATGAGCCAATAGATCTGGCGGCCCTTCGCGCGCCCTGCTGCATGTCCCGCGCGCTTCAGGCATTTGACCTGGCCGTGCAGACCAGCAATCAAAATGGCCGCGAGTGCATTCGCAAGCTTGCAATTTATGCTCTCGCAGTCCCCACTGTCTGCAAGACCTTCAAACTTGGTGTCTGGTTTTCCGGCGACGCAGAGGAAGGCGCGAGCCATGGACGGACGTCCAGAGGCACTGCCAAAGCCTTCCTGGACATGTTGCTGCCATTCATCCACCTGCGTGAACTTCGGCAGGAGTGGAACGCGAACAGCGCCAGACTCTTTGACGGGGATCATGCCACCGCTAGAATCCTGCGAAAAGTTCTACGACGGACCTGCAGCTGGCGGCGAGGTCGCACGATAGATAGCGCCGTCGTGATCGCCGCGAGTGGCAGAGGCA